CAATAGGGGGAGAAAGGAATACCACTTTTATGAATTTTGGGAAGAGCATATAATCTGGCACAATTCGCAACAGATGGGATAAGCGAATGTTTTAAGTTGCTTGAAATGATTTGCGAAGATTTGATCGCAGTTTTTATTTTGGATAAGTCCGAAGGTGAAGGATCTTTAGGGATCGGATTATATGGTCCTTCGTTTAAGAGTTTAGTGACACCATCGATGTAAGTGTTCTTATCCATGACGACTATCTGGCCACCTTTGTCAGCCTTTGAAATGATAATATCCGGGTTAGAATGAATTTCGCGCATTGTAGCTCTTTCTCTCGCAGTTAGATTTCGTTTCAAAGGTTTATTATTGAATTTCACATTATGAGCGATAAGATGCCTAATCATTTCTTTCTGTGAATCTGAAACTTTACTGAACTTGAAAGCTTTTTCGATAGGAGCCAAAATCTTTGGAATCGAGGGTTTACAGGTTTGTGAGAAGTTAAAATTATATTTTAGAATTCTCTCTTGTTCTTCTGAAAGACTAACATTAGAAATTTAACTATTGGCTTGATGTTTACAATGGAGAAGATTTTTTTGAACTACTTGAACTGGAAGACCGTAAAAGAAGTTTTTCGAATTTAACTGCAAGGGTGTTTTTTATGAAGGTTAACTGCATTCTCCCGTTCTAGACCAAGACTTTTGTTCAAGGGCAGTGAATTTTGGATATGATTTAGCGAGTTCCAGATGAAGCTTATAGAGTTCATGTTCAATTTTGGACAATTGTTGACGTGTATCCCTTATCACGGACCGAAGTAAGGCAAGCTTGCAATTTAACAGAATTCTTGAAACGCGACTCGAAGGTTTTTGATTAGATTTGATTTGAATAAAATTAGGGATCAATTTTTTACATTTACATTTAAGTAAAAAGTCAAGATGATTCAGGAATTTTTGCCGTTTCAGGCGTAATTTAGTGAAACGATTAACGGATGAAGGCATGATAAACAATGCAGAAAATCAAACCAAATTAACTGAGCAATAATAAAGTACACACAAAACAGGAGAAAAATCCCTCGCTGAAATGAATAGAAAACAAAACGTTTGTAAGCAAAATGCATGAAATCAGACAAGCAAAGCACAATATCCAAATGTACAAAACATAAACACTTGAAAATTGCAAAAATGTACTCACCGAAACTCCTACAATCACAAAATGGCGGCCACACCACGTGCAAAAAAGAAAGCAAAATGTAAGCCTGTTTGGGGCTTCTATAATTAAGACACAATAACACGCCGAATAAATACTAATTCAGAAGTCAAACAACAAAAATCATTTTTGCGGTTTTGCAGCTGAAGATGATGGTTCGGTAAAACCATCGAAACTAGTCCTGTGAAAATTTTGTAGGTATAACGCTGATTTTTGTTGTTTGACTTCTGAATTAGTATTTATTCGGCGTGTTATTGTGTCTTAATTATAAGACTTCGCGAATTTCATTTCTCTTGCATCGAAATTGATGAGCTAATTTCTCTCACTCTGTTTGAAACAAACATATTTTGTTTCCAAAATAAATATTACAAGCAAACTGAGGGATTAGCCATGGGAAGCCCCCTCAGTCCCATCCTGGCTGATATCTACATGCATTATTATGAATCAAAATTGTTTGAAACTTTAAACTTCCCGGCATGGTTCCGCTACGTAGACGATACTTTTACCCTGTTTGAAGGTAATAAAGATGATTTAAATAAAGTTCTTTCAACAATGAATTCTATTGATCCTGCTATTCAGTTCACTTTTGAACTTGAGACTTGCAATTCTCTTCCGTTTCTCGACATTCTGGTCACACGTAACAGATCCAACTTCAGTACTACAGTTTACCGTAAACCTTCATCGGTTTGCCTTCCACCACACTTTTTAAATCATGTCATCCGACTAAACAAAAGTTAGCTTCATTTTATTCCTATGTTTTCCGTGCTCTTCAAGTTTGCTCCTCCAAACTAGCCCTTGATGAAGAACTAAATTATTTAAAAGCAATAGCTATTGACAGGGGCTTTTCACCCAACATTATTAATCAAGCAGTTAAAAAATTCTCATCTCAACACACTAAAAGGCACACTCTTGTTTTAACAGATTATAAAAATTCTGTTGTCATTCCCTTCTTTCCATCAATTAGCTATAAAGTTGCACAAATTTTGCCGAAATTCAACTTTCGAGTTGTTTATTCTCCCTTCAATAAAATTCTGAGTTCCATACTCAAGGACTCCATTCCGGATATGATTTCCTGGGGTATTGAAAGGATTCCTTGCCAGTGTGCTTTAATTTACATTGGCCAAACTAAGAGAGCCTTAAAATTTCGCGTCAAGGAACATGAGGCATATGTTAGAAAAAAGGAAACACAGAAGTCTTCTGTTGCTCAACATTGTTGGTCTGAAAATCACACTTTCAATTTTTCTGCTGCCAAAATTATTCAAAAAACATCTTCCCATGGAGAACTGGATTTTCTAGAGGCATTTCACATTCATAAAAATCTTTCTATTCTAGTTAACGATCCTAATTCCAATCCAAATTTGCCTTCGGCCTTTAAAGAAATTATGTTTTAGTTTCGGTTTCACCAACAGATGGCGCTACTTGCTTATTCTTGTCTTGGCTTTCTTATCTTATCTAATCATTATTTCCTATCTTGTTCATTTGCGGTTTTGCAGCTGAGGATGGTGGTTCGGTAAAACCATCGAAACTAGTCCTGTGAAAATTTTGTAAATATAACGCTGATTTTTGTTGTTTGACTTCTGAATTAGTATTCCTTAAGGTTTTGTTTTATTCATTTTCGAGAAATTTCATCTCTTTTTTAATTTGGCCAATGTACACCAAACAGCACGATACATATCACACAATGCTAAATTAACACAATAATTAGCATTATATGAGATCTTTAAGATTTGAAAAACGAATTTTACTGATAAGTGAAAAAATAACTTAAATATTGAACTTATGGAGTAGTGAGAAATTTTGTGATTGATAGTTTAAATAATTTTGGTGTACGTGTCAGTTAAAAGCCACTGTCGGCTTAGTAACCTGTTGACTAAATGTCTTGACAGTTAAGTGTCCCGTATCTAAATTTCCTGACGGCTAACTCTCTGTGTCGGCCAAATGTCCTGTCGGCTAACTGACCGTGTCGGCTAAATGTCCTGTCGGCTAACTGTCCGTGTCGGCTAAATGTCCTGTCGGCTAAGTGTCCTTGTCGGCTAAATGTCTTGTCGGCTAACTGTCCGTGTCGGCTAAGTGTCCGTGGCGGCTAAATGTCCTGTCAGCTAACTGGTGTCGGTTAAGTGTCCCGTCGGCTAAGTGGTTGTCGGCTAATTGTCACGGACCCCCGCCAGTCACCATTTGACTTTTCTGCCATGTGTAGGGATTGTTCCAGGTGCTTTTGGATGGACGAATGGTCTTTGCGCTAACATGAACTGAAATTATTTGCAGGCAGCTGGAAAGAGGAAGGCACAGGAAGAGGAAGGTTTGGAAGATACAGGAGAGCCGTGTGTTTCAGTATGATGAAACACTTCAGAATGAGGAGTGTGCTGACAAAGCTGCGATGTATTTGAAATGCCGAGGAATTTCGCTAATCACTGATCGAACTGTGCCGAGACAACAGTTGTGCTCATAGGTACACTTGCTATGCGAGAGACTTGACCCTTTGATGTAAGCTTGGTTGTAGCATCAATTAAAGAATTATTTCTGACATCCGCTAAGAGGTGGAAATGGATCAAGAAATAAATTCGAATGATTAGTTGTGTGACACCTGCAATAACAAAAAGCCAATCGAAAGTTCGGCGCAATTAAAAATCAAGGGTTATGAGTTTGATACCGTAGGTAGCAAATCGAGTACCATTAGCTGCATAGAGCACAAGTTTATTAAAACAAATAGCTTGCAAATAGCTCCAAAATGCTTTGGAAAATGAACAGCATGAGACTACGTCTTTAACCGAAGTTGTCCAGATGATTAACAAATGTAAAAAAATACTTGTCATGTTTGGAGAAAATTACCCATCACAAAAGGCTATTCATAAGCGCTCCAAAAAAGGCTGTTTATATTCATCATTTTATTCATTTCTTCAAGATTCTGAAAATGTGTTAGGTGATTAAGATTCAGATCAGTTTTGGTAACTGCTAATACCGCGAACTCAGATGGAGGAACAGCTGCGCGCATACTCACTTTGCTGCCACCTGTCCCATACTTATAGGGACAGACTCTAAAGAGATCTCTCATACCCATGGCTGAACCTTTCGACTGGGGGTCACCACTGCCGGGGACCAGAGACTATCATGGGCGCAGCGCAAGGTCCTGGTCAGTTGAAAATAATTCTTACACTTGCGGGAATTCTGGAGCAAGAGTATGAATGCATGAAATAGGATCGTAAAATTCAATTAGAATCACGACACAATATGAACAGCTATTCATGAGGAGCTGTGACACAGGAAAGATTGTACATGATGCCAAAATCGTTTAATTCATAAAATGATCTTTGAATACATTACAACATTTATTGCAGTATCGACTAATTTGACCTACCTTTCCGGATTACGATAAATACATATGGTAGTAAGTTTTTACTTAACTAAAATTTTTGCAACTAAAACCCCATTTCAAGCAGCATTCTCATCTCATCTGTCATCCGACGTGTCATCGAACGTGGTTATAAAGCTTAACATTTAATGTAAAGGAGCTTAAAATCCATTATGGATCCAAAATGCTGCAAAAGGTTTACTTGTAAATAATGTAAACTAATGAAAAATAACGTGCTGCGTTTTTACAAGTTCGTCATCTAGTTAGATAAAACCTAATAATATAGGAAATTTTAATCACATTGCATTAAATTTACGAACAATTTAATTTGAATCACATTCACCATTTTGTGCAATACGAAACCCAGACTTTACTCAGAAAATAGTAATAAATTTTTGCACTTCAAAATGCCATACAAGGCATTATTTTTAATTCCCTTAATCAAAATTACTGTGTGACTTACTTGAGTACCATGAGCAAGAGCATATCCTCCTCCAAGTAGTAGGACTAGACCCCAAGGAAGTTTCTTTTGCACAGCTGACCAGACGAGTAGCGGTGGACTAATGTGGGGCTGCCAAGGTTCCGCGGGTAGAAAGAAAAGAAAGAATAATATCCCTATTACAGGGACTGCATCGCCGATTCGTCTGCAAATAAAAGATTAAGTTCTTGAAGGAAATTTATTTCAATTAGAAATTTTTATGAAGATTTTCTTAAAAGGGTTCGTTGCATACTTTGGAGCCTATGGAAACAGAAGGGCTGACAATTTTGATAAAAAGGAGTGCTAGCATAGTCCTCATTAAAGTCTTTGTTTATGCATCGGATCTCTTACTGGATGAATCAAAGATTGGAAAGCCTTAATCTACTTGTAGAAGGTTAAAAGCATCAAGGTGGCCATCTGAAAAGTGATCATCATGAATCTTGTAAAATATTTTATATTTTAATGGGGTAAGGAGTATATGATTCATAAAATTCAAATTCCTCTGCAAAAAGGACCTTATATATTTATTATTATTCGCAGGAGTGATGACCTATGAAGTTGACGATCTGTCTTCAGGTAGCTCAGCAATATTTTCCTGGTACTCACGCTTTAGAAACAACTTGAATTTATCCCTCTGGGGAGTAAAAAACTCTTCTTTATTGTTCATAAGATTCACAATATATATATCCTAACAAATCTAATATTACTTGCAGGGTTGTAGCTTCTTTATTAAAAACGTCCATTAAAACTTAATGGCTGTATCACTAATACTACAGTTGAAAAAATCATAAAACAGTCATAGCAAACCATAAAATATTCATTGTACATATTTTGTGCCTGATCTCATGAAGACTTCTAGGTGCAGAACTTCCATCCACTAAAATACGAATTTCCTGCATATCTCTACTATCATAAGAATCTATTAATAACTTCTTTCTGGAAAAGCTAAAATTTCTTACGTTTCATCATAAACATGCCTTTAACAGAGTTCTGTATTGAAACTTAAGTAAAGAACCTGAATGGCTTCCTTTGGCCCACTGCCGGACACAGCAATATCTCTTAAGATATGCTTATTATATGTCGTCCTGGCTTTCGAGGAATTCGATGGTATACTTGCCTCGCAACATACAGAAAGGTGTAGGCGGATGTAAAAGGAACATGACTGTAAAGATGTTTTGGGGAAACCTACTATTGTATTTAATTAAATTAATGGACAAAATTTAAAATTAATGGACTGATATGAATTAAATCAGAAAAAAATTATCAAGCAAAGATTGGTCATTACATTATTTATTTCGAAATAAAGCACAATGTTTTGAAGAATGAAATCTGGAGTCTTAAATCAGGAAAAGCATTCTGTTTGTTAAAGTAAGTATTTTAAATATGTATGTAAGTGGGGAATATTCTTTCTACAAGTCCAATATTTTTAAATGGAGGTAAAATATTTTAATTCCTTGCCAGTGTTTTCTTTATTATCTTCTTGAAATACAATAAGAGGTAATCTAACCTTTTGTAAGGACATTTTTTCAAGCATCAATCAGTCGAAAGCTACTTTAAGCTATTTTAAGAATTAAACAGAAAACTAATAGGGAAAATTGAAAAAGGGGTAATACCCTTTTATTCAGTGATAAATTTAAACTTTTAAAAATATTTCTATTTTCTAGCAGTATTTATTACAGTTTTTGTTGTTTCCAATCATTACTGATAATTTTTTCTAGTGCCCCTTATTAAATCGTCACCTAACCGCAGGGACACGCGTACTAGAATTTGGGAACCACTGGTTTAGAGGTTCGCTATAGATTTATAAAGTAATATTAAGTGTGTAAAAAATGGGATGTGGTTCAAATACTGTTCCGTTATATTCGGGAGTTCATTAGAAACCAAGTTCACTACAACGGTTTATTATTATTATAAGGAAAAACAATTTCCTTGTGCACCACAAAGTCTCACACGAGGCCTACAAAGTGTAAATAAAGGAAAACACATCAATTTTAATTAATACGAATAAATCAATCATATATTATTTCAAAATAAAATTTAAAAAATAAAATACAAATAAAAGTATTTACAGTATTTAAAATAATAGCTGACAAAGTCATTAAAAGCAAGGCAGAGAAATAAATTCATGACATTTCGGTGCCAATTCATTCCAATTAATTTGAATCTACATTTCAATGAATTTCTTACATAATTAAGAAAAGAGCAATCAAAAAGTAAGCGGAAGACACTTTGCTGAAAGCTGAGATCACAACAGCACAAACTGGAATAAGTCAGCTTAAACCGTTCAAGATAAACATTAAACTTTCCATGTCCGGACAAAAAATGCGCAACGTTAAAAGTGAGCAAGACGTCCTTATTTTTCAGTCTTTCAAAGATAGCTGGAAAGACCCTTTCTTTAATATCTTCCTTACCAAAAGTGATATAATCCATTTTTCCATTGTTCAATCATTTTAGCTTTGAATATTTTTTTAAAGTACGATTTTGGGTTATTTACACAAAGCTTGATGTATTTTCTAGTTGCATTCTTGGCAAGCCAATCTTCTCTCTCGTTTCCATACATCCCAGAGTTCCCAAGAAAAAATGTAAGAAACACTGAAAAATCCTTCTCCAGTAGATCCGACAGGGAATGCTCTCTATTAACAATAATATCGTTACATAATGAGGTATTTTTAGGAATTCCAGGGAAGAGAGGGAATCAGTGCATATTAAGTAGCTGGAAACATGTCTGTCCTGGATATGCATCCATTTAATTACAAAACTAATGAAGAGAAGTTCATAAAGCAGTACATTCATTTCTAATACGAAATTGCTGGAGCTTAATTTCAACACTATCCTCATAGATGACATAAGGAAAACCAACTCTGCCATAAGTTCTACTACCATCCGTATAGCACACAACTGCGAATGAATTTTGATCAATACCAATGCTATCTAAAATTTGTATTAGTTGTCATACAGAAGGATGAGAAAGAGCAGACAAAGGCATTAAACAATAAAAATAAAAACTGGAACAATTCGACAGGCTATCCTTGTAACCTATGCATTGCAGAATAAATATATCCAACGGGAAAAATCCGGCAAGAGCGAAAACAGCATTATAACTGATGTTCAATAACTCTTGATCACTCGCAGAAGAATTCGCCTCTGAACACGCTTTACAGCCGCATAAAATGAAGGTAACAATACTTTGTTTATAAATAATTGCCCTAAATTAGATTTGATGCCGAAACTATCACATGCAATGCTATGCAATCCACCCTGGAATCTCTCATATTTGTTAGAAATGTAGGAAATATGCTTTTCCTAGTTAAATTTGCTGCTCAGCAAGACGCCTGAATACTTAATGCCATTCCTTTATTCTTGAATTCCATCTTAAGGGTATATTATTAAAACGAGCTACTACCGATCTAAGTAGTATTTATTCTACCAATGAGCATCGTTTTAGATTTTGTTAAATTTCAACCTATAATTTGTCAGCCACTGACAAATTAAATTTAAAACATCTTGGACAAGGTAAAAAACATTATGTAACTCCTTTACCTGAATAAAACAAATCACCAGAAAAGGCGATAACTTCGCTACTGAAAAGATTAGCAAGTTTCCGCAGGAGATCGTTGATAATGATAACCACAAGCCTTGGATCGGAAAACGAACCTTGCGGACATCCATGAGTACGTCCTACATTGATGAGGTAGACGAATTCTTGGGGTGCCACTCACAGAAGGCAAGGCAATCCTACCCTTTAACAAATCAGTAACAGCATTAAACAGATTATGAGGTATTTTCATTTTCTTCAATAAATTGAGAATGGCAGGCAACCATGCATTATCAAAGGCTCCTGCAATATCAAGAGAAATTAAAATAGTATGCAAACCTCTAGTCTTGCTCCTGTGTACAATGCTGCCTAAATGTACTATAGCGAGCTTTGAATGCCATTAATTATTGAAGTTTAGAACCTCTTAGGTTTTAAATCTTTGAAAGCTCTTTCATTTTTCTTGCATTAACTGAGTGGCGTATATTTTAAAACATGCTTCCAAATAATGGGCAGAATAAATACCTATTCAAATATTTTATATTGGAATAAAAGAAATTCAATTTTAAGTTATATAATAAGGGACGACAGCGTTATTATGTGTTAACAGCAAAGTCTGATAAAAATGCATTTAAATTATGATTACTTATTAAAAACCCTTAAACGTTTTTCTTCTTATTCTTTTTTTAATCTCAATATAAAATAATTTATCGCACAGAAGATATAATGTTTAAGGGAGCCTACTGCGGTACCGAAGGGTCCGGGTTCGAATCCCGGATAAGATATGGATGTTTGTAAATGTATAGCGTCCATGCAGCATGGGGGCATTCTAAATATGCGGTGAGCCGAAAGTCCTCACGTGTGGTTTGCTGTAAGAGAAGAGGGGTGGAAGATCCCTGTACACCTTCCCGGAGGGCTCTTTCTCAAACTTTGGGTGGAAAAATAGAAGTCCAACCTCTCTTTGGAGTAGACCGTAGCAACCATTATTCCATGTAATATGGACACGACAACAACAACAAGGAATAAATTTTATATCAAAAGAGCTCGATTTCAAAAATACAATTTTGTTTAAATAGTGATAATGGTATAGACACAAACGTTTGTGCGTATACTCTAGTATAGTCATAAAACGTTATTGTTTAAATGTGTTGACAAGAAAAAGATTAAAATTGCAAATAGTTATGAAACAGACTTCTAATAAAGAGCCATGAAATTAATCCGTAAAACTTGAACTTACGTATCAGAAGCTAGATGCTCAGCCCAGCCAGTCATGAACTTCGGTTCCCTGAAAATCCACAGAAACACCAAAACGATGAAAAGGAAGAAAACAGCTCCTTCATGAAACCTGCCAAGCATAACGAAAAGTAATTATTGGCTTAACTTTTAAAACTCAGTAATTGTCTAAGTTAACCTTTTATTGTTACGCTCAAATGACTTATCTTCATGTAATACATGTTGATAATACACCAGGCAATCATAATTACAGCACCCATAGAATGCTATTCGCAGATGTGTTAACAGTTCTAAATTAAAACAAATTTCATAGGTTTACTTTGTAAGTTAAACAAAAACGGTATTCACGAAGGAAAATTAATTCTACTATTACACATTAATAAACATTTTATATCATTAAATTAAGACCTGTTTAAGCTATCATATGGATACTATGTCATTCCACTTATTATATCAGAGTTCTTAAATATCTTCATTACCTATTCGTATCATTCAGTCCACTAATCCCGAAGCTATTCAAGAAGAAAATTCTTATTGCTTCCCTTTCATCTTGCGCTTTTCTGTTATTTTTAAGCATCTCAGAATGCAGTGCTTCAAAATGTTTATTGTTTCCAGTTCGGGTGTTGACAAAATAGAAATTATTGCTATTTAAAAAAATATTTATTTCGTGCCTTGTGCGCAGGCGATCCAATGAAATAAATATGCAATTATGTTTTGAGTAATTAAGAATTTTGTTTATTAAATGAGTATACAAGTCTCCATATGACATTTCTTACGACGAAATTATCATATTATTTTTTACCACTTGATTTTCCCATTTTGAATAACTTATTTTAGATATCAGATTTAGTGCTAAACACTTAATTTTGGAGGAACTATTCTTGTTGTAGTAATACTATATCTGCTTAAAATTATTTTAACTATTAAATCGAAATCTGAATTCCAAGTTCAGATTGCAGTTTATATTTATAACTTTTAAAATGTTAAAATACTTTTATTTAATTTTTTCAAAAAACTTTTATAGAAAACTTTTCTACGTTTCTACGGGGTAAATTAACCTTGCATTGCTTGTCCTCAATCCATAACAGAGAAATTATCCACAGAAGCTGTGTACATTGGTTAGCGAATAATCGCGTGGTACATAATTATTAACATGCAAGATAAAACTCAAAGTTAAAAATGTTCGATAAACTTTATTAGACACGACTTGTAAGTACTACAACTAAAATAAAAACAAGCTATGCGATTTCTCGTCAACTTAAGAATAATAACTGCTTACAGGTACACAAAAAATGAAACACAATTAAGCATCTGCACACTAAAGCACACTTAGTGTTGGCTTTGTTACTGTTCTTGTTATTTGTTCCTGCCAAAATAGACAGAGCAACAGTCTGAAGCCTGTACCAGTTTCAGCTCAGTCGAGGAGACGGGCCCTAAGTCTGTATGTAAGAGAGGAAGTCTTTAAGTCAGCTGGTCGTTCGGTGCTACCCGCCCGGTTGGATCATGAGTAGTAACCTGGTTCGTATATTTTATGTCTCCAGAACCGGGGCTATCAGAGTACAGACCTCAGACAGTAGTATAGTTGGCGTAGTTTTATAGAGTAACAGAATGAACAGCTCCTGCTACCCCCGTACACACATTAAGGGGTCATCTATACCAATGGTTTCAAAGGTGATGCAGACACAAGAAATGAATAGTGCATTCTGAATGACAAACATAATAAGCACATGGGTGAGAAAACTCAACCATAAGGACTCTTTCTTTCAAGTGGAACTAACTGTCCTGAGAGCGGCATCTCTGATGTTCTTATACATCAATACGGGACTCTGTATCAAGCCTGAAAGCAGTTCATGGACAATCAATGCAGAAATCACATCGTGATACATATTCCAACATTTCTGCTCTCTTTGCTTCACAACCTGAAACAGAAGTTACAGCAGATGTCTGTTCTTTATTGGAATTTTCAGCTGTGAAACAACGAATAAGGTGCCAAATTAAAAGCAACAGATACTAACATAAGCATTCTCATATAAAACTGCCAGCTACTTATATAAAATTAATGTCAAATTAAATCTTTATCTTAATCGATCTGGTTTCGCGAAGAGTGACATTTATATAGGAGTTTTTAAAAGACGCATACTTTTTCCCCCTTTTTATGTATGTGCGCTGGCGTATTCTTCCTAAACCATTTATTTATGAGTAAATGAACGGTATTGGTGACCATATTGCTATGTATTTGATTGCCGTTTTGAGAGTTGTTATGTGCGGGCAGTTAATGTTAACAAAAATAGGCCTCCAGTGTATTGCATTAAAGCCTGCACTTACCAGCCTCTCACCATCACAAGGGGAAAGGGGAGTAAACTGATTTTGTTTTTAGCGTCAGCTAAATTGCGTGTTGAGCAGGAAGGGGCAAAAGCCGATCCGCGACCAAATACAGCCTTTTTTAATTGCTTAAATCAGCCCGTTATGAAATTCTGTCAAACGGTATTTTCATCTCTTTTCTACTGTATTTTTAGGCAAACAAATGAAACCAGCAACATGAATGCGTATCTATTGTTACAGTGTATATGAGCTTAACTTATATTAACAATAAACCTAAGCTGAGAACATTAGACAAGCTAGATGACATGAGCAACCTCCGAAGTTCAATAAATTTAACAGCTGTAATTTGGAAATTAAACAATGAAATTTAATATATCTTATCAAGAAACGGAGCTAAGGAATAAATGCAATCCGTTTCTTATCAAGAAACGGAGCTAAGGAATAAATGCAATCCGTTTCTTATCAAGAAACGGAGCTAAGGAATAAATGCATTTTGCCCCTAAAATTTGTATTTAAAAATGATGCAGAAGCTCAGATTCAGTTAGAACTGACTGATTTGCAATCGCATAGTTTGTTAAAAAAAGTTTCCATCAAGCGAAATAAGTGTTTTTTATATTTCCCTGAATACGGATAAATTCAAAAATATTTCATATTATGTTACACATTATTTAGTTTTATTTGGATCGATATATTTATCTGAAAGAACATTTTCGTTAATGAAATACACGAAAAACAAGTTTCGGTCCGAAATTACTAATCAAAATTTATATTCGGTAAAATTGCTACAAGTGAGTTAGAACATAATTTGATTAAAATAATCGCAAAAGAGCCTTCGAGATATCGTATATGTATTAACAACTGTTTTCAAAACGCAGTGTTTGTAATAAAAGTTAAAATGCGAATAAAACTATTAATTTATGAACCTTAAGTGCCCAGTGTTTTTGTTTCCTGGTTTAGCAACAAAAAATTATTTACGAATTGGTTGTTGGTCTGGAAGAACGAACTGATTTCATTCATATTGAAATATTTTTTATACATTTTCTTTTCAGGTGTGCACAGAACTTACAAATTTTGCTTTAGCCACAGCCTCTTACTATATATATAAAATGTGATAATTGGTGTTTAATGAATCATGGATGCCTTTTCTTTCGTCCTAGTCCTTGAAATTTACACATACGTTTTATTTTCCATTAGTTGATCTGCTTGCAAGGCCGTCGTGATGCTATGTTCAGCCGTGAAACTTATTTAAAATTAAAATAATGAAATGAAATGCATAAACGGTATTTTAAATTGTAATGCTTTAAATTTCTTCCGTGAAAAGGTGTTCTCCTCATCGCGTCCTGGCAAGCAATAGGGATACAGCTAAAGATCGCCATCCAAGCACCATTACACCTTCCGACGGCTTTAATCGCATAATATACTATAAAAAACCTTTTCGGCCCGCAGTTAGAAATACTTGCCCACCCTGTGCGAGAGAGTTGCTGCGTCAGCAAGATACTTTTAGTCAATGTCAGTACTTCCAATAACACAAAATGAGCAAATTTTCCAAATAATAACACTATGTTTTATCTCTAATTAAATACCATAAAATACCTTTAAATACCATAAATTACCATCCAGCTTCTTAGAGTACTGCATCAAGTTCTTCTATAATGGTATATCTTTAGCGTAAAAGCTTCAGAATTAATTCCCTCTGTGTATAATTTACAATAGTGCATAATCTGTGTATCTGAATCTATAGTTTTGTACAGCAAACCTGCATAACTGTTTGGACATTGCAATCGCAACATGCATCCATATATATAGTGTAGTTTTAATTAAATGTACACTATTTAGATCTACGTAGAACCTTTCCTGATAGGCCTACTTCGTTGAAATACGGTATATACGTTTATGGACCATGGGGTAAAGAAAATTGCAATAAAAGTACTAATTTAAATTTCGACCACAAAGAAAGAAGGGGGACGCATGAAGAACAAAAACACACATTGTAAACATAAAACTTCAATTAATCATAACACTTTTTTCAGTGTGCATTCCATTTGCGTTAACGACACACTCAAAGCGCATTATATCGCGTTCAAAAGTAGTGCGAAGGGTTTCTCGATCAATTGCAACAACATGAGGTGTTATGCTTGCTTTCAGTTCAGGCATAGGCCGTATGTTTCCTCCATAGACACGATCTTTCAGGAATCTCCACAGCCAGTCATAGAGATTCAAATCCATGAGAATCCAGAGAATGAGGAGACCAGAGAGTCGAAAAACTTCTCGAAATTGCCGCATCATCTTCAAGGTGGGCCCGAAAGTAACTTCATTGACCTTACCCGGTGGACCAGCTTCCTGTCGATGGCAAAAAGAGAGAAGTAAAAGCCAGTACAAAAAACAGTTATATACCATTTCAGGCTTTCTCCGTATGGAGTACTTTCAGAAACCGTCTAATTTCAGCCTTTTTAATGAGGAATAGGTAACAGAAGTTATCTATTCCTTATTAAAAGGAAAATAGGATGCTAATATATCCCATTTCAACCTTTCCGTTTAATGAAAGCCGAACCCGAAAATGTGATCAGATATGATGTAACAGTGAAATGTATGTGAAACTATGTTATAATGAAATTTTGTCCTCTAGACTTCATGTTTAGTCAATGCCTAGATGGAGTATTAAGCGTAGCGATATCACAGCTAAAATAATTTGAGATTTCTACCCTTTGAATGAAAACGAAAGGTGAGAACATTTGAGGAATATACTAGCAATAAATCTAACTTAAAAGTGCAGGGCTCGAACGACTGACCTTCAAAGACACTCATGAAAATCGTATGTAATGTATCATATTTCTTTATAAAATAGATTCATTTTTTTTATTGACAAATTTTTTAAAAATGTGTGTTTCATACTAAACGAGACTGTTGAGCCATGTATAGGGAAATAATTTTTTTAAGACCACTCGCCAAAACGGTTGCTATTCAAATTGAAGACGATGTCCTTTTTTTTACGGATGAAATAAATATTTTCAGTCCTCCTTAAAAAATTCTTTTTTTTCGATTTTTCTTGTTTCTCGTTCAATTTTTTTTGAAATATTTAAAACATGAAAATTTCTGCTTCTAAAGAAAGTAGTAATAGGGTTTTCTCGCTGACAGATATTCAATAACCGAGAAGCAGATCAGAATTAATGTGAAGTAAATAAGCCAGTTTGGCATGCACAGCTCAAGGCTATTTCGTACTTTTTTTTTTTTTTTCAAAATGTGTGTTCGCAATATTCAAAATGGCGGAAAAAGTAAACTTTAATTTTTTAGCCTATTTTTTTTTAAAGAAGGAATTCTTTATTTACAAATAATACTGAAATGCCACAGATCTTGATGCCATCTCCAAAAAGCCTGAAGCGGGACATCATACAAGAGACGAGCGACTTTCAAGGCAATATTGCAGGAGAAAAAAAAAGTTTACATTTTAGCTTAAGTATGCCGCTTGCCATACAATTTGCATAAATGGTCTGAAGGAGTTTCGTGATAAAACAAGGAACACTGTAAAAACGTTAACCTAATGTTAACTGTTAATGAAGCTTGAGGTACTAAACAAAGGTCTAAAGTTTCCCAGATTGAAATTTTTGTTGAAAGGAAAGACATTTACTTTTTACAAAATCTATTCATTCGACTGTTTTGAGAAAACAAGAAACAGTATCTTAGAATCGGTTCCTTTATATGTTTCTTCGTTATACGCAATCAAAATCAGTCTTACAACATATATTAATAATACGAGAACTGAATTTTTTAAGTACGAATTCTAATTTTCCTCAGGGTTTTGCTCATTCTGGGAATTTTTTGCTGTTGGTCATCCCTTTTCAATTTTTCCCTGTTGGTTTTTAGTGGTAGTCATCTTGTCCTTAAAATTAAACTTTAAATTAAAAAAATAGAAAGGGGGAAAATGTTGATATCGAACTACAATGAAATGGCAGCATTTAAATTTCAAATTGAAACTGATATCTATTTCAAAATAAAGTAGAAGTGATATATAGGAAGTGAGGACATTGTTAATTCTTTTTCAAGTTTACATTTTGATTTTAATAAAAAATATTGAAGCAATTTGAATCACTTTTAATGTATTTGTTTAAATCTGCCTGCAATTTCCTTACAACCTTTTGATAGGGGTGTTTAGCTGTATTAGCGTAATGTAATGGTTTCGATTAAGGTTAGAATCCAGAATAAAATATGAAGGATCGTACCTATGTAATGATTTTTGCAATTAGGGTACTTAAAATCTTTGATATGAAAACATTTCGAAAGGTTTGTGGTACATAAAATGAGTATGAAACCCTTAGATTCTGTCTTGTAGTTTCATCCCGATCAAAATTGGGATGAAGCTAGAGAGTTGTTTGCTCATCATTGTGTTGACATAGACGATTGCATGGCATCCTTGTATTACTTTATATCGTTAATAATATTATCTACATTTTACTTCAAATTTTAAGAAACTTTAAGCAATGAACACTAAGCGTATAAGGTTTTCATTCAATCAAATAATTATCTCGTTATTTTTGTTGTTCTATACTTCTATTTTTCGTCAATTTCTATCAGAATGAAAAATAGTTTAAAGTATAAATAAGTGTAAAGTTTTAAAGTTTATCGCAGAGCAACAGGCAGATTAAGCTTACTGTTCCCTCAGACTTATAAATCTGTTGTTTTCACTAGCTTGCCACCAAAGATTCTCTTGCTTGAATCTCAACGTTAAGGTTTAAAAAACAGCTTTAGGGTTTAGAAAGCCAAGCAATGATTAGAGAAAGGCAAGCAATGATTTGAGTCAAACTAGGCTTAAATTGTGAATGCATCCAATTTAGTTTGAAATCTGTGTTCAGGTGTTTGTTTTTCTACACACGATATAGTAAAACTGTTAATTTGAAATAGTATAGTCACCGGGTTGACTTGTTAATATACTATATTTTACTTTGACTTGACTGTGGTTGTGATGCTTCTGATTAGGAAGTCAGACGTCTGAAATAAATGAAAATTCGTCTTTTAGTTTGCTTAGTTAGTATTTTAAGTTTAATAGCCTAACCGTAAAAGCGACATTGCTTTGAATAAATGTGATCGGAAATAAATTTCATTGCTCTGGTATTCCACTTTCACAGTATTTTTGATCAGATAATTTTTTTTTAACAAACAGTGTACAGCGACAGACATTAAAATTTTAAGATTCAGTTTTTTCAGAGATTTCCTTTATCTGAAGAGAAAGTTTTTTTCTCACCGAATAGGTCGCAGCGAAAGAGAAAATTTCGAACATCAGTAGGTAGAGACCGTTAGGGTTTGGAGCTGGAAACATGAGAAATTAATTGTTATCTCTCCAGAATTCAAACTACGAATCTTTCACTGGTTAGCTGGTGGTGCTAACCACTTAAATAATGAAACCATGCACGGTGAATGCGATAATTGCTTGGAAGTGTATAGAAGGAAATGAGTATTTATAACAAAAGATAAGAGATCTCGTTTCCTTTTAAATCGTTTTTACCGCTTTGCTGAGAAATTCCGTCCTGCGTAAACTTACGTAATAGCTCCAAGTTCATTGTATCTAGAGGTAATAACTTTCCGTATCCGTTGGCGATCGTCTTCACTTTGCTTCCACCTGTAAATATGAAAAAAAAAAAAAAAAACCGCCCGTTTGAACTTTTGAAACAAAAGTAAAACTAATTTCAAAAAGAAAAAATTAAGCAAAAGGTTTATAATATATCAAATTTTAAAATATGAAAAAGTCTGATTATTCTATTTTAATACCTCATTTCATGAATAATGGATGTTAAAAGATATATAGTTTATTTAAAAACGCGGAAGATGGAGGGAGAGGGGATAGAGGACCGAAAGTTATTCATCAGACTTGCTATTTGAAGTTAGATGTATCTTTCATATAAAACGATATCATAAATTTCTTTAAGGTTGAGAATTATTATCTTGCTCACTTTCTAGATAATATTTCGTATATGACATAATAAATTTACTTAAATATCATGAATAAAGGTAGGAGTTTAATACATAAAGCACAGCAAGTAAATTTATGGTTTGTAATTAAGGATAACAATATATTAGGGCAAACAGCGGCCGAACGGTAAAAGCCGCTGGATACGGGAAGGTTGGTCTGAAATTGAAATTCGAGTCGAATTCGACTGCATGGACGTTTCGTGGTTTTCCCCTTGTGCAACATGGATGCAGCATGGCTCTGGCTTTTCAAGCCCATTGTGCCTGATCATGTCATGAATTGTAAAATCTTTTAATAATTTAAAATGTTACTTATTACAAAATTTGACAAAGACACTTTCGTGACGATATTATAAATATTTGTTTGATTCAGGCTTCAAAATATTTTTAAAAAAATGTTTGATTTGAGAACCGTTCAAGACCTTCAAGAAATTCATCTTTATTAGATGCATCAGATGAGGAAGATGAGGATATCAAAAATGAAGACTTTGATGGCGAAAGCTATATTGATTCCGAAGATGGCGTAGAGGAACGTGAAGAGGGATCAGAGACAGAACAATAGGAAAGCGAAGAAGACTACACTGAAGAAAATACTGGCTTTTATTTGGGACAAAGTTAGACCACAACACTCCAGTAATTTTGGTTTCAGTAGTGATGGTAATGTTTTGGGTCCTACGTTTCAAGAAATAACAAAAATGTCCTTCTTGTATCATCATTGCATGATGACCGATCTATTGATCTTTCTACTGCAAAAAACAGAAACCAGAAATAATCAGTTTCTACAATGAAACCAAATTAGGAGTAGATATTGTAGATAAAATGTGCGGTTCATATAACATGTCTCACAATGTAAAACGGTGGCCCATTGGTAATCTTTTTACAGTGTTAAACACTTCAATTAATTCTCACATCATACATGTAGGTAATGGATAAACAGCTCTTAAAAGGAGATTGTTCATAAAAGAACTGCCTAATAAACTTGTGCTTGGACAACTTGCTCAGCGAAGTCTGAAGTCTATTAGGATGCCACTACACCTACAACAAAAATTAAAGAGATACGCTCCCAACCAAGCACATCAAACTCAAAATTACTATGAGCCACAGATATCTCCAAAAAGATGCAAATGTGAAACATGCTATTTGGAGACTCGTGAGAAAACTTTAAGCTAACATCAGTCCAAAAAGTGTCACACAGCGCAACCTGCCTGTCATATGCTGTTTTCCTGTGTCAGCCGTGCTATAAGACAGAAGTAGAAGCACAAATATCTCTTAATAAATCAGATGAATGCTAGATTATACTTATATTCTAGTTTTAATTAAATTTAAATCTATAATTAGTCTTGTACAATAACTTTATAAAGTTATTTTGCAAAATTTTTTTAATATAAATAGTTTCCTTTTAAGACCACAAAAATTGTTTCATTCTCCCTTAAGTATTTTTATAACTTGTGGTAGTTTAATAACAATGGATAGAGTTTGATTTTTTAATAAAAAAAACTTTTTACGTATAAAAAAGTTTAGTACATCAAGAAGTGCCTCTCAGGCGCAATGCGCCCTGCGCCCGAACGTGTTCCGAAACATATTGCACCCGACGCAGTGTTAACCTTTTCAGCAACACAACACCAAGGGTTAACTGAAAGTCATACAAATATTATAATATGTCATTGTAAATTTTACTGTGTATTTTTGAAAGTCATCTAAAGTAGGAAAATCGTCAAATTTATTCTTCTGTAAACGGAGAAATCCAGAATATCAACTTATATCAACCAGAATATCGTTTTAACCACGCAGTTTCATTCGTTGCATCAAAGAGAGAGTGTTGCTTCTTATTATTATAAATTTATTTCGTTAAGCTTAGTAAATATATGTACTAAATTAGCAACACTCTTTAATCAAATAAGATTTGCTAAAAATTTCAAGAAATTTTATCCAGGTAGTTTGATGAAAAGAAAAGGAATAACTCACTACGCAGTATAATGTCGACGATGTTTTCCTCTGGGTAGCCTTCTTACTTCAGCGTACAATAAAAGTGCAGTATGGGGGCTAACCATTTCATTGGTTAACCATTCATTTCAACCATTCAAATATTATGGACTGCAGGAGTCAAGATTTTACGAAGTTGATTATTTTTACATCTGTAGCCCAAATACTTCTTAAATATATAAATTATCATTACTGTTATTATTACTATCGTAATTATTATCCGTCTGCTGAAAAAATAGTGAATTTTTTGTTGTACTTGTAGCTATTTCAAAATGAGCAACAGAGTTCTCTTCACCTTGCTCACCACTGCTTGTGCATTATCTGTTATAGTATGTGTACATTGATACCCTTGTTCTCCAAGTTTATCAAGTTTGGTTTTATAAATATAACTATTAATGCAATTAAATATATCTTCTCTTTCTTGGTGGTAATGGCAAAAAAGTAAACCAACATCTTAATTGCTAAGCACGCTGTTTTAAACCACATTGTTTTATATTTAATCTTTTAACTTTATTCAACAGATGTTTTAAATTGAGTTAAATACATTCAATTAGACAAAGTTTATAATTAGACAATGTTTTATAATTCTCTTAACTACAAAACAAATAACATATCTCTTTTATAATTTTTCCAAGAACCCTTAGTGATAGTTTGTGGAAGATTAGTGCTCCCCTGAACACAGTTTGAGATACACTGCATTAGACTGCTTAAATTAATTGAGTGAATTTTCCCGCAAAACGTGAATGAAATATTTGGTTGTTTTAATCAAATATTAAGATGTTTAAATGCAGTAAGAAAGTAGATTATTAAAAATGTAAAGCTGATGAAATGTATCATTAAAATTATATAATTTTATTTCAGTAGTAAATTTTATTCCATGTAGACATTATTTTTTTTTCTTAGTGTGCGGGTTAATACACTGACAGATAGAAAGGAAGGGTGCTTGTAAAATAAAGCCATGCTTATATGTAACTTACTAAGTATTGCAATTTTTAGAATATAACTAGTTTAGACCAGTTTTATGAAATAATTTTAGGGTAATGGATATTTTTAGAACTCAAAAGAAGGTTAATAAAGGAAAGAGAAATTTTAGGATAGCAATAATTTAGACTAACAATCATTTGTTGCTTTTTTGATGACGTATAGTTTTCAGATAATCACAGTCATAAGAAACAGGATATTATTTACAAACCAGCATGGCACGTAAAGTAGTTGCAGAATTGTCCAACCAATAAAAACACATATTATCATGCCCGGCACGTTGTACAGCATCCAGCTGGCATAAGTGATCTCAGAACTCTCAGGATGTGTTCTGAAAATTGAGTAAAAATTTCAGTAATGTTTTTAGCGATAGGAATCAATGTAATAAATGATAAAAGCAAATAAAGACACTTAGTTTCATCTTTAAACGGCAGAACGGTTACCAAATATAATCTTGCAAAATGTTTGGTATAAAAAAAGATAACAGAATATGTGAAAAAAATAGAAGATAATTACAAGAGTAAACTCTAGGAAAAAAAATAATCATAGAAAATTTTTTAATCGTATCTTTATTGGATTTTTATTTGTTTAAATGCATTTTTTATTTAAATGCATATTGTAGTTTTAAGAATAAAACTTACAAAGTAAAAACTTAAATTACACTCAATAAGAAAAAGTATACCTAGCTATATAAGGTTCACCACCTAAAAAAAAGCAGACTTCCCAAAACTTTGGCTGAAGTAGACAGAAATCATGAAAACGCCACCAAACCTCTTTACAGCGAGAAACTGCAGAAGAAACTGAAGCCCCCCCCCCTCCCGCAGAAGCAAGAGAAGCTTTGGACTGGCTTAACGACCGGAAAGTTAATAGTTTCCTTAAAACTATTATTTCGCAAATAGAAAAGATAAGATCGGCAAAGACGACAGCAGAAAAACGACGGCCTGCTAATGCAAAGACCTTCCAACGTTTAACATCTCACATAGATCGTATGCTCTGCATACTTGTATTTTTCGCCTTCGGGTGGGGACATGTAAATTTACATGTCCTTATTTTACTCACAACCGCGAACTGCCGTTCTTGATACGGCAACTTAGATCGATCAGGTTTAAACTTTTAGAAGTTGATGCCTGTAACGAAAGTAAAGCATAAGCGTAAGGGGAAAAAAAACTTTCCTGTTTAGAGCTATAGGCATGTTGGCCTGCTAAGAACGATCATTCCTCGTGTATAATGCGTTAGAGCATTTTCCTGTAAAAAATTCTGAAATTATGGGACTAAATATATCCAAGCCCCATATTCTCAAGATATGCAACTGTTAAGGTTTTCATCTTAATAAAATTCATTGTTAAAACTTGAGTTTGAAGTTCTTTCCAACCCCTTGTCACAACCTAATATTTGCGTAGCGGCTTTGGACACTACACCACAATATAAAGAACTAAACACTTATCGATCTTACGCTGATTTATTTTCAGTTCACTACTTGATGTTGAAAATGGCCCATTCATCATGAGATACGATTTGTTCAACTTATCGAATTGCTAATTTGCGTATGAAATGTATAGCTTCAGTAATAACATTATTTAGTTCTGAATTTTTTTTTTTTTTTTTTTTTTTTTTTTTACATGTGGTCAAAAATCTAAGAAGCAAGAATTTAAGGTCAAGCCGAATATTTTTTTGTTCTGACGAAAAGGTACCTACGTCATATCACCCTCGAAATCCATGGAAATTTATTCAGAACCTACGCCAAGCTTTTTTCTATTAAGGCCTAATTTTCTGACTTATATTAACTTGTTTTCTTTTCATCTGTACGTACGTATGTACGTAAAAATGTACATATGAACAACGAAATGTAAATAAAACCAAGGCATTATCAAAATTTCAATTAGTATTTCAAAATGAAATAATTAGCATTGTATATAAAGAAACTCAGAATGCATGGCAGAGACCGGCAACATGGAGGTTCCCCCAGTAGGCGTATTTTCTCCCTCCTTTCTCTATTCCTTCGTGGTGTAACGATAGCACACTTGGCGTGTATTGGAAAGGTCCAGGTTCGAATCCCTGCCAGAGAATTGCACATTTTTTACATCTCCTTCTTCAAAATAATATAATGTCTCTTGAACGGCGCCCGAAATAAAAGGTGGTTGATGATGATTCTTCACCACGAGGATTTGGCGACTGGCCCTCTAATGCTCAGTCGCGTTCTCGAAGAGGAGATATATAAGGTATTTTCTCCTTCCATTCTGCATGCCTTCATGGTGCAACGGTAGCACAATCGGCGCGTATTCGAGAGGTCCAGGTTCGAATCCCGTAGAGGGCATTGCTCATTTTTCGTGTTTACTACTTCAAAAATCCTAATGACTCTACAGGAGAAAGTTTAGAACGCTATACGTGCCGTGGATTCCTTGCTGAGCTGAACTGAGCTGGCGAGGAGCACTGTGACTTATGATGGATGTTGTGCTAGAACAGAAGCGCGACAAAGAAAAACCTGTAAATCCATAGGCGAAGTTTGGTGCTCCGTCCACTTTCCCTATCCCTGTTTTCTTTTCCGATTAGAGAACTGACATTGCTGCAGCAGCGCCAAATGCAAGACAGAAATGAAGAGAAAGATTACACTAGCCAGACAGCTACGAAAAGTTTGACAAAGGAAAGAAATTGAAAGCTGTGTGATAGCATTGTTGATATGAAGGAAAAAAAATAACATTCGACTGGGATAAAATAAAATCTTTGCATTGTAAAATTAATTTAGGATTTATTATAATTATTACCGCCTTCGTTTTGAGGTTATCTTCAGAAATAAGATCCTCGGCGGACACTAGTTTTGCTCATTCAGATATTGAAGAATTTGAAAAAGCAATTTCTACTTACTCTTCAAGGAATCCTTTCAATATCATATTAGGTGATGTCCCAGTAATTGTGCCGGTTCCTCCACAATTTGCGGAGTATGCAACACTTAGAAGCAGGGCTGAGCGTAAAACTTCATGTGTAACTTTCGATTCTGCAGTAGAGGACAAAATATTACAGCGAAATATAACAACTAATTTAAATTTAAATATTGCTTCTTCTACAAGATTCTTGAAAGAAGAAGATACACATTTCTTTATCTTAAATACTTATCTTAAAGACGGTATCAGGAGAACCGTTTGTGTGATTCTCGAAATATCAGTCAAAAAGGACATATAAATACGAAAGAAGTATATTTTAACAGTAGTGTCATAATACTATTATTATATTAATATTATACCCCTGCTATTATAAAATTTAATTTTACCATCCAGTTTTTCTTTGTTCAAAATCTTACCTATATTCTAAAAAAATTAAAATATTTCGTAAGTGATGTTAAACATTTTTTTTTAATATCATCAGTATCAAATTTTTAACACAGTAAAGAATTTTCTGAATTCTGGTAAACGAATGCATCTAAAATTTTTTTGTGGGGAGGGGAGGGGGGAATAAGCAAAAGTAAAACTTGCTGTTAAATTATTTACGTGTTTTTAATTTTTCATTCATTTATGTAAAATTTAGAAATAATACAGTATAGCACATAATTTGAGAAGCTGTTAAATTAATTTAAATGAATCACACCATGGTGATTATCTTATAATTTTCCGAAAATATATAGCCTATAAATATTACTAAAAAGGGTTTATAATCTGTATATGGAGCTACTGTTCATTATTTACATTGTTCACTTACATCTATTCTAATAAATTCTACGTTTTTAAAAATAATTATAAATAAATTTCATGCACGCAAGGAAATTTTTTCTTATAATATACAACCTAATTTTAGTTGGTTTCTTTGTGTGAACAGAAGAATTATTAATTTGGCTTCCAGAAATTAAAGACACAATGCAAAGCAGTTTCCGAAAGCATAGTTGAACTTGAGCGACTGAAAATCGCTGTGGTTACAGATGATAGCATGCTATAGCCAATCACAATGGATTGCCCAAACGTACTGTTACGAATTTTGTACATATATAAATAATTTTAGTGAAGTAATGTGTGAAATTGTTGTATTTTTTTACATAATGTAAACACGAAAAGCCGAGAGAATTGATGCTCTGCAGGAAAAATAAGAATACAAGGGCAAGTCTTTTTAAAATTGAGTAAATAGCTACCTCGGTAATTCGGCAAGAAATCGCGAAACTTGGAGACCATTCGGCGACAGTTTGGTCAGGTTCCTGTATAACTGTGATGGGTATTATAAGTAAATAACTATAATTACTCTCTATATATAACTGTAATCGTATTCGGCCCTCATATGTTTTCCAGTAATTTCGAGAAACAGAAAATACTGGATAACTCTCGGCGGCCGGATGAAAACTATATGACACGAGAGCATTAAATCTTCAGTTGTTGTTAGCTGTTAGGTTCAGCCTAATTTCGGAGTATTTGAATATCTCTGTGTAAGCTTCCTCTTTAGATGCGCTTTGCATTGCGTTGTGTTTAGTAGTTTGAAATGTAACTACTGAATGTATTCTATGACGCTGTGAAGAAATGTACGCCTATTTTTGTTGGAAGTTTTAGCGTTGTTAAGGGTTTCTTTTGGTAAAATAAATTTTAGCAAGCTGTCATCAATTCTGTGTGCATTCGAACTATTACGAGCCTGTACGCACGCAGCAATACATTAATTAGGCATTAATTATTAATTGTTTCTGGTTTCTTAATTCGGAAATTCTTATTTACTATTTAAATTTTATACGGTATTTTTTTTTTAATCCCATCTGAACGGATTATAACTTGATGATTTATAAAATGATTAAATTTGTTTTAAAATAGATTTGTACTATATTGCATTATTAGTTTTTTAATTTTTTTAAAATAATTTTTTTTTTAAAATTCGGATACAGCCAAGAATTTGAGAGGACTCTTTACAGTACTTGAAATACTCTCATGTCACAGATACAGACTAACAAACATCCAAACCTTTTCTAGTATTCGAACCTGGGTTCAATGATACAGAAGCCAACATTGCTAATCACGCCGCCCAGACGGTATGGTGGTTAGAGCAGCCTGACTGCGATACCGAAGGGCTCGGGTTCGCATCCCTGAGAAGGCATGGATGTAACATTGTCTGTCCTTTCATAGGAGGCAAAAGTTTCCCACCTATTAGGTACCTCCATAATAAAGAGACCACCACTTCTGGCTACTTAAGAGTGGCCAATGGCGGCGTAGGCAAGTGCCTACCATTGGAGAGAGAAAAAAACCTTGCTAACCACTATGTTGATTAAAGCAGCTATTTTAACGTTTGTTAAAGAAAAATAATTCAAAACTACGCAGTGGCATTCAATAAATATTTAAACGTTCTCAAAAACAGAGTAAAATTATTGATTTTTTCCAGAAGTAAACATATGCAACATGCACGAAAAATGATAGTTTGAATTGTGGGTGATTTTTAGGTGTCCGTGACCTGCTTCTCCGGCATTTGGCCCTAAAAATCGAGAGTATACTGTAATTGCAGAATTTGTTTTACCGTGGACGATTAGTTTTGTCTGTACGTGCTTCTATTTAATATTTCGTACGAGAACTCTGTTTTATTCTAACAACCGATTCATATTTACCGACTTAATCTTGTGCTCAGTAGTGAGTGCTACAGTTACCTTATTAGTGACATCTACTAGTTAATTTAAATTTGCATGATAAAATCAATTATGAATGTAAACTTATAAAGATTCTTTATGCATACATTTTTTATATATGTCTACCATGCATCCGTTTACTTATAATCGTAAATTTTCGAAATCATAAGGGGAATTATGAACCATCCAATATTTTAACTTTCGTACTTTATTTATTACTTTTGGTTATATAACTCTTTGACTGAAATCCATAAGAATGATTTTTGAGTTAACTATTAAACATATAATTACAGTTATTTTATTTTATGAAATATTATTCTTTATGAAAACAGTTATTTTTACAGTTATTTTATTTTATGAAAACTTTATTTGTTTTTTTATTTTAAATCCTTACCTTTCAGTACATATAATACAGAGGGCCTTATGATGTTTTCGTACAGCTACTTTGTAAATAGAAAGCACTGTATTATTTTTATTAATTTCTAAAACTGCCTAGCTTTCTTCTTAATATAATTAAATTCTGAGCGAAAAATGTAAATCCTACTTGCTGAAGGCCCAGCACTGAAGAAGATTGTTAAACACTGGTACTTGAGTACAAAACCCGAAGGGCTGTGTGATTTTTCTCTTTCGTATGCTCATAAAGCTTAGTAATTTTCTTAGCTATCATGAACTGGGACAAAACAACTTTAGATTGACCGACAGCAAATTATCGCTGAGTCTAAAAGCTAACGACAGAGACTGAAGAAAGTTTTAAAACAAACCTTTTTATTCAATCACAATCAAAACTGGAACATAAATTTACGACTCATGCTTACAATTCAGCCAACCACTAGTAGTGATGTAATTTAAACTAACAGTAAGTTCAAATTTAAAATAAGTTAGTAGTAGCAATTATACAATTCAATTTAACGCGAAGCTGGTTAAAAACTCTAACCGGCGTAGATATTCAAATATCGGCAATTATAATGCAAGGCCCAAGACTTCAAATCTTATCTAGCGGGAAGCTAGTAAAGTGCTCTCAAGAGGCAGAACACGTTCTGCCTTACAATATGAAAGCCTCATCTTAATTTTATGCGAGCTAATTTGCATTCTGCCGAGAAACCGAAAGGAGAAGTGACAGTAAAAATATAAAACATAAAATAAATACTTAGATTAAGACAATAGACCGTTACATGCTACAGTTTCTCTTAAAACGTCCTGCATGAAATTATAAGATATTTCTCCCGCCTTCTTAGCATGCCTTCGTATTGTAGTGGTCAGCACGCTCGGCGTGTATTCGAGAGGTCCGTGGTTCGATTCCCGGCAAAGGCATTGTTCATTTTTCAAGTCTCCTGTTTCCAAAAAATACCTAATGCCTCTACAGCGGCGCCCCAAGTCAAAAGTTGGTAAATGATAATTCTCCATCCCCAGGATTTGGCGATTGGATCCCCTAATCCCCTAATCCCCAGTCGCCCTTTAAAAGGGGGAATATATAAGATATTTCTCCTGCCTTCTTAGCATGCTTTCGTAGTGTAGTGGTCAGCACTCTCGGTGCGTATTCGAAAGGCTCGTGGTTCGAGTCCCAGCGAAAGCGTTGCTCATTTATCATCTCTCCTGCTTCAAAATACCTAATTTCTCTACAAAATCTCCATGAATTTTCGAGAGGGTATCATCCGCGTGGCGGGGAAGGGCGTTAATTCGGTGGACTTACATTTTAGTTGCTAAAATTTTCAGCATTTCGACTACTGAAATAAATTGAAAGAAGGGGAAAAAAGTCAACATAAAAATAAATAAAATATAAATTTTAAATTGCTAACCACTATGCTGATTAAATTCAAGATAAATACTTCTTACAAAAAGTATTTATCTTGAATAAAGTTGCAAAATTTAATTCAGCTTTTCAACGTTTTTCATAAAAGAAATAATAACATTTAGCTGAAATGATGTAGGATAAATCACATCTTACCAGATCATGGTGACAGCCATAGTCACGAAATTAAATAACATACTACCTGGGACATGAAACAGAACAATAAGAAGCTTATAATCTACTTTTACGAGATGCGTAACTCAGTGCAAAAATACAAGGTCAGTAATTCAAAATTGCATGCTGTCTATGAAATTCAAGGTAATCCGAAAAAAGCGAGCGTGTTGAATTATAAAGACTGTTTTTACAAATAACATTTTCCAAAGCATTTCGTGTATACGATGAGGATATATAGAAATTTTCCTCCTTTTTCAGATAACATTAATTTTTTGACACGCAGTTGATTTTGAAACAGCTCTAGAAAATGCTACAAAATATCACAGAATTATTCACACCCTGCTGTCATTAAATCAAAACAGGTGCAATCCTAAAATTTTTATTACATTAAAGCATATATATTTCTTATATATATATCCTTTCATGCATTTTATTTTAATTTGCAACGTTTCTTTATTGGCCCTTACCTTAAAGATTAAACTTTAAACACTTAAAAATCAAAAATAAAGCTACATTGAAAACTCATTTTTGATCTCTAAATTTGATAAAAGGTCATTTGTCTTTCTCGATAATATTAAAAAACTTTACATATCATTTACAAAAATTTTACATATCATTAAAATGAAATTTTTAACGTAAAACGTTTATATGTATGTCTGATATTGCAATACATGCGCTAAACAAATTTATGCAAGTAATTTATCTTGATCAGAAAATTATTCAATTCACAGTGTCAGGTATGATTATATTAGGAACTGAATGCTGTTTATAATGCATTTTAATATCAAATGAGCTCCATAGTAAACTTCCTTCTTCATAGAATATCAATTTCTTCGTCTGTTTTCTTTGTTCCTGTCGTCTGATTAGCAATACAGTGAATTCTGAATATATATTAGAAAGTATCAAAATATGAATCTTTCTTATTAATTTAGATGTACAATCTACTTGGACTATGAGGTCACTGTACATAGAGAAGCTAAATATATATTTTATAGTTTATAAAGTGAGCAGCATATTTGAGAGAAAGAAGCGTTTTATATATTTCTTTCGTCATCTGCTTTAGTTATATTACCTTCTTGAGTTATATTAGTGAATTAAACAGCTTTGACTCAGGTGGTAGTTGCACCTCATATTACATCGTGGTTTAAAATTTGTATATATTGGGAATTAACTTCTTAGGATTGTTTGATATATTATTTTAACCTTAATCATAAAATGACGAAAATTCAGTGATTATTTGAGTTAAAATTTGCTGCATTTTTACTTATCATTGGCGGAGGGAATAAAGCTGCTGAAAATTGACAGTGCAATAGCTTTCGAATTCCGATGAATGGACTATTACATGAGTATTTCAGTCATCAGTCTCCCGTACATCACTTCTAAAAGAAATCAGTATTTCCGAAAAATGTTAATGAACATCAGTTTCTAAACCGACCACTTCTGCAAAGGACCAAACTTGTCTGGTAAAATGGATACCCTTTTAGAGAAGTTTCACTGAATTAATCTTAATATAATTTTGTTGTTGTGACTTATCTCACTTATCAGATAGTAACAACAGAACAAGTCCACGAAATTCATCGTGGTAAGGAGTGCAGAATTGGGCCTGTCGTTGTCAAGAGCCTTGAGCACCAAACAGGTGACGGTACAAATTTGTTCAGTTCCGCTCGCCAGGTTTGAAGGAATGCATCCCGGGGAACGAGTCTGAGGGTCTCTCACCCCTCTTACCCCCTACCATTAACCTCTCGAGAGGACTTTCGGCTCGCCATATATTTAGAGTGTTCCCATGCTGCTCAGCCACTATACATTTACAAACATCTATGCCTTCTTCGAGATTCGAACCCGGTTCTTTTGGTACGGCAGTAACCACTATCCCGGTTAGGCGACATTAATTTTGATAAAAATACTATCACATATATAATCATGAATGTCTATAAATTCAATGGACAAAAATTTAAAAATTGAGACTTTTATCAGTGACATTGTTCAAATATCTCTGTTTCATTCAATATTTTTACAAATATTTGCATGTTGTCTAAGTTTTGATTTATTCTATATCACCACTATCCTAGAACGCATACTATTGGAAACAACATTACTTTTATTTTATTGCTTTTATAAAATCCATAGACAACCGAAAAATAAATTTGAAGACGTCTTAGATGTTTAAATGTTTTAAAAACAAAAAATTAAATAAATATGGCTCTTAAAGTAGTTCAAAGTACTGAGTTATCTAGCTTTAGCATCAAAGAATAAGTTAATATCGACAAAGTTCTCTTTTAAATATTCGCAATTTCAAGCAATTTTGCGGTCGAATGAGATGCAGGCGCCATTTTCAAAAATCAAGATATTGGAATTATATTACAATTCCAATGAACGAATCTTCTTCGGTGAAGCATAATCAGTGACATTTCTGGTTCACTGCTTCCGTTAGAAAAGCTTCAGCCATTTTGCAAAAATCTAGTTTCTCATGAAGGTGCTGTCAGCTTTAAACAAATTCTCTGCTTCTGACAAATGTGCTTGCACGTAATGGGCAGATATGGTGAAGTTATAAGGTATTTCTCCTGCCTTCCTAACGTTCCTTTGTGGTGTAGTGGTTCTGCATGCTGGGCCGGTATTCCAGAAATCCGTGGTTCGATTGCCGGCGAAGGCGGTTGCTAATTTTTCCTCTTGCCTGCTTCCAAAAAGTACCTCATATCTCGTACAAACAAAGTGATTTTCCATAACGATGTCGAGGATTTATTTTAACCTTCGCTTAATTAATGCGAACGAAAATCGGATTTTTATGACGATTTCCCAACATAAATGCGTATGCACTCCTATGAGAGTTGATGTTTTCAAGTTAGATGCTGATCTTCATAGAGATGCAGGCACACTTATGCCGGGTCACTTTTAAGAATCTTTAAGAACAGCGATCAACCTACATCAAGGAACAGACATCTCTATGACGGCGCATCATTAAGAAGCAGTGGGCACCAAATACCGGCCTAAAGATTGTACAAGGATCAGTTAAGCGCCATCTATAAAAAGGACAAAAGGCAGGAGGTAAACTGTTGAAGAACTCTCAGATGGCAAATCGATTATGATAAATTTAGTAGAAAAATTAAGTCTTAACGATGTTGATTAATGATAGAATAGAAATGACAAAATGTTTATTTTTTCCCCTTTTAGAAGTAAAAGTCTTTTTAGTTAATGTAAAATTGTGAGATTTTATGTTAATAAACCGAGAGGATGACCGAGATGATGATTAATTTTAACTTTCTTCGGCTCTCATCAAATCATTAGTTGGATTATTAAAGGATGCAAATTAGTGATTGTATATAACTGCTAAGTTCTTGAGTTCGAGAGACAGCCTTTAAATGCTATCGCTGAATCACTGTTATTTTTTTCCTCTTACTGGAATTAGCCTGAATCAGCAAATTATTATTTGAATTAGCTATTGCCTGAATTACTTGAATTGGCTTTTATAATTTCTTCATGAAAGATCGAGCCCAAGATGACGAGTAAATGAAAAGTTTTATTTTAAACCTTTTTTGAGTTTGTATATATTCTACTTAGCACTTACGACGCAATCATATGTCGTCTTACTGGTTTCAAGAGCTAATATTTAGAGTAGCGTGCAAAATTAATGATTTTTACTGTTATCCTCACCACATACCAAGCTGGTGCTTGAAATTCATCCAGCCTACCTTACATAAAAGTGCTAAATAACGGTTAGGTTTTGCCATTCATTAAAAAGTGGGATAAAAATATACAGAAGTTAGTGGAAATACGATCCGTTAAAGGAAATAAAAAAATAACTAAATAGATGAAATTTTAAGAATTGTTATTTGATAAAGAAAATCTGCAAATGACATAATACACGTGCTGTCCACGTGTGCCTTCATCATCATTGTATTTTCATACCATTTCTGTTGAGATTCTTGTATTTCTCTGCTTATGAGAAAGCAGAGATAAAAGAGTTAATTATTAGCATCTAATATATACTGGAAGTTACGTTTGCTCATACTGTGAATTTGTTCATGTTGGCAGCTCGCTCAAATTCCTGTTTCTCATCTACTTATTGTTATTACTTTATATGAATGTAATTAGTATTACCTTTCCAGATAAAAGAGGGGCAAAAGTGCTTTTTATTTTGCATTATCCAGACAAAATAAATAATAATAATTCCGAGAGAAATGTATTTTATAATTAATACGTATTTTCTATACTTATCGTGAATGCTTATAAATTCAACAGATTTTAGAGGCAACAGTTAAATTTAAATATCTTACAAATGCGAAATTATGAAAAATGTATTCATGTATAAAAGATTAAATTCGTACAACTCATTTAGCCATTTAGCATCTAATATAATGTTAAATTTGTTACAAAACTAAATGGAAAATTTAAATTCCTATAAAATCCTTAAGCTTACTGTTGTACTTCTTTTCTAAGAGATACAAACATCAAAATACAAAATTTATAGATAATTGTTATTTCAGAAAGCATGTTTTATGCATTTGAAAAGAGATTTTTATTTAAAAGAGTAGCAGGGTTCTTGCAAGTGTTGAAATCTTTTTCCTACTATTTAAGTGTTGAAGATATCACATTCAAAATGTCCTTGATATGCACTACTGCATATCAAAGCCAAGCAGTTTACGTTTTTGTAATTCAAGTCATGCAATTTACTTTCTTGAAGCTATAATAGTAGGATTCAGAGTAGTAATTATGGAATCTTTTATATATCAAATTGATTTCGTAGTTGTAAAATTTGTTTAGCTATTTCAATCAAAATACGTATAGGTGTTTTATTTTTAAAAATACCTTTAAACAGGGCTGTATACATCACTGCGACCTTCACGTCTACTGTGGTTTATTTTTATTTGTCAAGACAATAATTATTTTTTTTATTCCTAGAAAAGATGAGAGAAACGCTTTTAAATACGTAAAAAAGACAAGTTTAGTTTTAAGCAATGTAATTTTAATGTGATTTTATGATGAAATACCTAATTTATTCTTCAATAAGTGTTACAAAGTATGAGACTAGCCAGTATCATTTATGGCCTTTAGGAAGGCTTCTTCCTTAATTTTAAATAAATTATAATACGTATTTAAGCCATAACATAATTAAATATATCACATTGATAGTTAAAGAAAAACTAAAACCAATATTTAGAATATTTTAGTAGGCTGGAGATTTTAATAACACTTATTATGGTGGTTACTCATCAATGAGTACTTTTAAATTTCGAACTAATTACCAAACAGATTCCTAGAATTAATCATAAAAATAAATGATTCTTTAGCTAAAAAAGCGCTGGTAAGAGCAAGATGTTTATTTATATATGCAGAAGATTCGAAATTACTATAAAGTATAGTGTTCGTAATTCGATATATTATATTTACCTGTTTTAATTGGTGCTACATCATCACATTCCAAACTCGATTTCAATTCTAACATCACAGCTTCAACAATTGGCACCATCATGGCTGTGGTGGCTGTGTTACTAATCCACATAGAAAGGAACATTGTAGTCGACATAAATCCGAACATTAACCTGAAAATATCTGATAATATCAGTTCTTGAACTTGTAAGGTTAAACTTAATTGATTCTGAAACACACACTTTGTTTAATCTTCCTGTGCTACAGATGGCTTATCCCTCTTCTAACTTAAAGTCTAGTCATCAACTACTTTTTCATCTTAGTAAGTGGATGTAGATGCTTATATCCTGCGCCAAATTTACATCGATGATAATTAAAAATCTGTTTTTTGTTACTATGATATTTGATTTTAGTGATCATAAGTTTTTCATACATTTTACCAAGAGCAGAAGAAAGATCAGCAGAAAAGACTAACGATGTATAACGTGAACTATTATAAGTTATTGAATGTTTAAAGAAAAATTCATACTATGCCTTAAATGCTATTTTAATTATCCTGTAAAGCAAGCCATCTGATACTTTCTTCCTAAGAAATAGATACAAGTTTAATTTTGCCCCTTCTGAAAAGAAGATAGTTATTATAGTGAGTTACTTTAAGATATGCACTTCAAGGCCGCTCTCTGTCCCATTCGCGATCATAATTCGTGTCGTTATCCCGCACATTAATTATTTTATCCACGCTATTTGACACTGTAGTTCAAGTCTTCCTTCATTCGCGTTCTTTTCAGGAACCGAACGGAAATAAAGTGGAGGAAAAATTAGGCGAGTCGACCTTTATCTGCAGCTGTTGTTCCCATGGTTCCAAGTCAAATCTTGAAGTTCCCGTTTTAACAGAACAGTAACAGACTATAGCATTGCATGCAATAGAAGCTGAGTGCATTTCCTTTTGCTCTAAAAATTGTTTTCAGCATGTATATTATACGAAGAAAATGCAGTCTAAAACTTAAGTAAGTATATTGGATGTGAAATGTCATCTGTATAAATTTCAGTGTTATCTGGATTCAATTCAGTAGGAATAATTAATTTTTCTGTAGCTAAGTTGTTAACTCACAAAGAAGTGATATCTTCACAAGATTCAATTTATATAAAAATGATGATTAACCAACAGACGCCACTGTCCCGAAATATGAAATGGGCAGAAAATTCCATGCGAATCCTACATTTTAGGGGAGGTTTATACGCTATTTTCGTTCTAAATTGTTTAAATAACAAGCTAAATCAAGGACACAGGTGTGACTTGAAATTACATGTTAAATCAACATTGTAGCAATGAAGTTCTTTTACAATCACAAGGACTATCTCATTTCGAACTTCAAGCCTCAGTGATGCGATATATTAGTTAGAATGAAGAAATATATTACACCTTTACATGGAAACTAATCATTTGTATATACCATTTAACATTTCTCAATAGGAGACAGAAGAAACTGAATTGCACCCTGGCAGAGATTTGAACTACAGATCTTTCAATGTTAACCAGAATGATAATGTTAGCTTAGTTTGAACTCTATTGTAGAGATTATTAGATATTAAGCCATCGTCGAGCATCGAACCGTAGAACTTCCAGTGTTCACAGGATGTGCTAACTACTAACAGCATGACAGCATGGCACAAAAAACGAGATAATTTCTTGTGTATTTAGGTCAGATTCATTTATAAACTGTTGTTGTTGTGACTTATCTCACTTGTCTGACGCTAACATCAGAACAAGCTCACGAAATTCATCGTGGCAAGGGCTGCAAGACTGCTGCTCTTGTTGCCGAAAACCTTGAGCACAGCACAGGTGACAATACGACTTTGCTCCCTTCCGCCCCCAATTTTGATAGAGAGTACCCCGGGTGGACGGGTCCGAGGTTCACCCACTCCTCTTCCGCTACCATCAACCTTTCGAGAGGACTTTCGGCTCCCTGTATATTTAGAGTGCCCCCTTGCCGTACAGATAATATACATTTATAAACATCTATGCCTTATCCGGAATTCAAACCCGGGCGCTATGGTACGGCATTCAGCGTCTCTAGCCACAATCCCGGTTGGAAGGCATTTATAATCTTCTTAAATAAAGGTATGAAAAGACTTGTTTCATCATTTTGTTTTTGAGAAGCTGTTTAAGGTCAAGTGGCATAGTCCTCTTTTCCAGTTTGAAAAATTACAAGCGGAATTCAAGGGGTCTTTCTTCACGTTAGTGGTCATGATGTTCACATCTTCAGCAGATAGTGCTTTTTATCCGCCACCATACCCAATAATTAATTTTGATTTTTTTTTTGATTCGGAAAGTTAAAAGGTTTTTCAAACCTTTAAATCACCTTGCATAATCCATGTCAAGGTAAAATATGTGGCATTATAGTTCAATTGTTTAATGCTGTTACACATTTTTTACCTTCATATTCACAAATTTACAAAAACAGTGTAATCTAATTAAATCTGTTCACTGCATTATATAAAGTTCTATGCCTAACGGCTATGTCTAAATTCTACAAATTTTTATCCCTCTGTTCTATAGACAATTTATGCAGAACAAAGAATTATGTAAATCATATCAAATAAAAGCCAGGTCATTGTGATAAGGTTTTTATGTAAAAGCATACTCAGAACAGCGATTCTATTAAATTTTTCACTTTATACAGTAGCTGTTACATATGAAAAATTTACTAAAACCGGTAACCTTTCGAGCGCCTACAAATCATGGGCTGGTCTTTCATCACTTATGAGCCACAGTACCTGCCTATGGTTGTGGGCAGGGCATGCTGTTTTGTCCTGCCGATAGCCACAGGTAGGCTCATAATACACTTACTCATAATTTCAATCGTGGTGATGGATTCATATATCTGAACGCTAATTGAAATATACAGCCGCAGATATATCCTTGAAGCTTTGCTCTCATCTTTTCGTCTTCATAATGACGGTGTAGTTACATTATTCTATTATATTGGAGAACGAAGAGGATCATATAATCAGACGAATTTATTTATTTAATATATTCCGTGGATGCCTAATCATACGCATGCAAAGAATTATTTTTCATCTGGCTGTATTGTATGCGCAGAGAAAGAAAGAATGCTATACTTCACAAGGTCCGTAATTTCCGTTGTTATAGCAGACATTATAATTTCAAGAATATAATATATTTCATTTATGTAACACCCAAACTTCATTTACACAGTTTTCAGATTCGTCTGACATAAATTCAGTTTAACATTTGTAGATTGAGTACAGCATCATTTTACATTAGACTACTTTTGTCACACTTTGTCTCTGTTTTGATACCAAAGATTGAGACACAAACCGTTTGTTGAATATGTGCATCATCGGGTGTGAGTTCTTCCAAAGGAAGGCCTAAACCATATTAATTTTGAAGATCTACATTTGAGATGTGATATGTACAATTAAAAGTTTTTTATTTGTCTTGACTGATGCTGTGATAGGTCTCATATTTAAAAATTCCCATTTAAGTTATTTTCGATCAAGAACGAAACGGCCTCTTGCAGACGTCATATGTAGCAGAAAATTCAGAGAGTTACCTAATACTTTACATAAAGCAAGCATTACCTAATACCTTACATAAGTAATAAGGTACCTTACATACTCATAACTCACATAAAATAATGTTAATAACCTTTATATACATATTTATGATTCCTTAGCCTTTTGTACGCTTTTACAATATGCTCTCTATTTCAATTACAGCTATGATATATGGCATAGATACAATATTATAATCCCACATTTTTGTTTAATATGTTATATTATATTAATATGCTTGTAAATATGGTAATGATTCTTATTTTAAAATTAGGTTTCTTTCTGTTTTTGCTTTTTGTTAATTTTTAATAAATAAAGTATCTATTAATAACCTCTACTCTGGAACGTAACCTCTACTTTTCTGCATTTAATATCATCATCTGAGTGCTTGGCAGCTTACTATTATGAAGTTAGTAAACACAGTACTGCTGCAATGTTGGTAAATTACATTTTATAAAAAAATAACTGCACATAGACTTTGGATCGCTATCTGGTATTGTAAAGGCACTTAAAAGTCGAAATTTACCATTTAGTGTCTGAACCAACTGCCATCAAAACTTTCAGAGCTATCCTCTCGTGTAAATTACAGTGTTCTACAGCAACAGCTACGGCTAAACCTCCCAGGAACATCATCAGTACCTCCTAAAATACAAATATTTGATTTAAAAGTTTTAATCTACATTACGGAAAAAATTGCTTAAATAATTATTTTCTAATGTAATTAGTACTGTTTTGTGACAAGTAGTATAATATGCTTCCGACTGGCATTTAAAATTTCAAATTTTCGTTCTCTCTCACTTCTAGATGATTTTTATTATGTTTTTTTTTTAACCTTCTGTGAAATTCAAACACAGTTAGTTAAAGAGAATAACGAAATATATTTGAATGATGGAGTAAGGAGGAAAGTCGTAGGAAGACTAGAATCAAGAAATTCTCAAACAGAGACTTGAATGTAACTCACAGCAGACTGCGCGACTAATGGAGATAACTTAAGGATAGCAGATCCGCAGAAAGACAGACTTGGGCAAAGTCGTCCAAGGGCCATGACGGCCAGTGAAGATCGATATTTAACATTTTCATCGATGCGTAATATGAGTGCAACAGCATTTCAGCTTTCCTGAAACCTCCATGCAATTACAGGAAGCCAATTTTCAAGGGTTATTGTTTTCAAAAGGCTACATAACAAAAGTCTGTCTGTTGTTTCAGAAGGCTGCATAACAAAAGCAAACATAAATGTTTGTGTCTAGCTTCCATCCTAGATAAGATATCTCCTTAAAACATTCTCTTCACAGATGAGTCCTTAGTTAACCTAATTACAGAATCTTCACTTACATTCATTTGAAGAAAACTAAGGACATGATATCTCTCCTCCAACATCAGAGAAGGGAACCAGTATGATAGCGAAGGTTTCATGGCCGTCTAGCAAAGGCACCATGCTAGACGGGAGCACAGAACTTTTTGATAAAAGAATTTTTTTGATAGAAGCTCTATGACTGCTGAGAACTACAGGGAAGAGATCTTAGAGCATTGCCAGACTCTTTAGATAGGACGATTTCAACTTATCTTCGCATTTCCAGACCCTCCAGGATCTGAAAACAACGTTGTTGTAACAGTGAGTACCATAAACTTACGTATAAATCGACTTATAGACTACCTTGTTTACAGTACGAAGTCACTGGCAGTTTATGCATTTACGATGTGCTAACTAACAATGTGGAGCTGTATGCCTGTTAGAGGGCAACAAATTCCTTATACTCATCCTTTTTTTCCTATCTTGCAACCCAGTGTTTCAGACCTTCCTATGCCGATGAGCCTTAAGCATGATCACACGTATGACTAGGACTGTTTTTATTACTATTATTACCATATTTTCTCGCGTACTTTTTCATCTAAAGTTTTAACGGTAGGTTTTGAAACTTTTGAAAACATCTGCGTAATTTTCTCTTCCTAAATGCGTTTAGAAAACAAGCTCCCTTAAATTTTAAAACGGATTCGTCTGCGTGGTAATTGTTTTCGTCTTCAACGACAAACTCTCGTAAACTACTTGCGAACGTCATGCGAGCCTTTTTTTTCTAACTGTTGAACTTCTTAGTAGCCTATTACAAAATCCGACCAATCGCAGTTAAGCAAACACGAACTGACTTTCAATCTACGATTTCGCTGAGTCAGTTGCATATTCCCCTTCTCGAGTTATATATGGATGATTTGAGGTCTAAGATGTAGCACAGACAACAATAACAGAGGGCAAGATTCACGTTTTAGGTAATTAGAAATTAAGATATCGTATTAGATATTAAACATTAATATTACTATGCATTCTTATCAAAATGTAGGTTTCTCTTAAAGAAATAATAATAGATATTTATATATTAGGCTAAACTAAAGTTTATATTTTTTAAGTTAAGAAGAAATATTTAAGTTTCTGAGTTATATTTTGAAAACAGATTTTGAGCACAATTCTTACCTTCATGTAATCCCCACAAACTTGAGAAGCACTGAGGATTCCGAATAATGGCATTAAGAGAACAGGCAGCAGGGCAGTAATTGTTAGGTGGACTGGCTCTAGCATCCAAAATACGGACATTAACAGGATGATATAGGCACATTTTGCCTCCTGAAATAAAGCAGACTTATTTTAGAAAGTGAATAAGTTGCTCTTCTCTTGATTCTGAAAGTTTATCAACGCTGACATACAGGAAGTTATGATGCATGTATATTAAGTGAAAATGTAATTCGTATCAATATTTACTCGAGCAACCAAAAGTTGTATTGTTTATCCGATTATGGCAAAGCACATTAATGGTTTGTTTATTTAAAGGAAAGAATGCCTTCGTAGAGGATGTGCTTATTAAAACTCACTAATATTTACGTTACTTAAGCGGAAAGCAGTGAGAGCCGGATCTCTTGCCAGAGCTGAAGATCACTTTGCCATACAAGAAGTTGACCGGGATGTAGAACTATTTCGTGCACCAACCATCCAAATTATCAGATTATCAGAACCCAGGAGTGTCTGTCCCTATGGGATCAGGTTTCCTTTGGGACTGATCAGAATCTGAAGAAACAAAGCGGTTTTATGCAGAGAAGTTATGAATTGATTTCAAATCTGAGCCTAAATTTCGAGGCTGAACGTTTCTTATTACCTAATGAAAACAAGAGTTTCTGCATCCACCTCATACTAATCAAGACGTGACCGAGAGTAATGAAAACGTGCTCAAAGCTTTGACATACAAAAATATACATTCTTGCTACCAGGAAGAAGAATAGTTGCGAGTGTATACTGATGGTTCCAGAATGGGCCGATCTCACTAATGTCGGTGCAGGTGTTTATTGTGAGTTATTTTTCTTTATACTTATCCATTGGCTCATATGCAACTGCTCTAGATGGTTAAATTGAAGCCATTCCACCCGAGCCATCCTATAACTACAGACTCGTCTGGGGTGTTTTTTAAAGGTGGTCTCCTTATGAGATCCCATAGCCGCCCTTCAAATTATTGACTCGTAGAGTGATTCCCGCTTTTTAGTTATCGACTGCTGTTTCGATAGTCTTAAATGGCTGTCAAGTAACGACAAATGGGTTGTACTTCAATGGATTCTTGCCCATTGTAGAGTTCACGGTAATTAGGTCGCTGATTTCTTGGATAAGAAGGGAACTTCTGTCCTTCAAACATCCCAGTTTGGTCTTCCCTACAACTTCATTAAGTCAGTTGTTAGGAAAGCCTTCAGAGACTTCTTTTTCCAAGAATTCGTAGAGAGAAATAGAGATAAATCATGGTTTACACAAATTCTTGAAGTACCCGAATGACCTAAAAAGAAATCTGTAGTATTGTTCCTCATATATCTGGTCATGACTGCGTTCGTAAGCACCTATAATGCATCAGTTACGCTTCTAACTCTCTTTGCCTCTTATGTAATATTAAGGAAGACATGAACGTGCCACATTTCCTCAAATGTCCTGCCCTTCTTCGTATTTCGATTTGGGAGCACTGAGTTTATAGATATGCTGATGTCAATTTTCTTGTCTTTGTTTTGTGTTTTATTTAATGTTCAGTTGTCTTGTTATGTGCTATTAGAAATTTAAAAAGAAATCTGATGTGTGCACCACATGACTTCCTTCTACGTAATATTAAATTATACGCATTTTTTCTTGCATTTCATTTAAACTTATTGGATTGAATTAAATCTACTTCGTCGGTAGCACATAAACCACAATAGAATAAATGCACTCTTTAAAATTCACTGTATTTGTTTACCATAGCGACACTCTGGACCTAGGTTCACTTAACAGCGCTACATTTCAATCATTTTTTAACTATGTCTATGTCATAACATAATTAAGAGGCAATCGGCCTAGTGCGGCCCTTACCAATATATTATAAGTAGGGTGTCTTTAATGATGAGTTGAATCCAGTAAGATGGAACGTACTTTTTGCACCTAGTGCAGAATCTCTAGAAGAGAAGTAAACGTGGGCCCACGATGTGAGGATCTGCAGCTTGAGGATTTCTGCCGCTCGACTATGCTTGTCTTGAGAGAAGCTGCGAATTAATCAGGCAAAGTTCTGCATATTTGATTTAGCTGATTTAATTCTCTGAACTATTGTGGTTATTGGTTTTATGAGATAAAGGGTTTTCTGATCTTTGAAAATGTTAATGATTTCTGCTAAATTTTCCTGTGAATTTTTCTGCTTAACTTTGTCACTGTAAAGGGTTTTAGGCATTTCTTGATTAGTTTGGCCTGAAGCTTGAATGAATTGGGAAAGTCATCTTTAGTGGGAATTTCTGGTGGTTTTTCTATCTTATATCTTGGGTGGTTATCTTATGTCTCTTTCTTGTGGTACCTTACAACCACGATAAGAAGAAATGTGATTTTCGTGACAGTAAATGCAAGCTGGTTTTTCATCTAGTTTTAATTTACAAGTATTGGATCTATGATTTCGTCCATACTTACAGCACCTGACCTTTTTAAAGCAGCTATTTTGGAAGTGCCCGAGCTCCTGGCAATTGAAACATTGATTGGGTGTTTTCTGGGCTGATATTTTTCTATTGTGATAATGAATCCGAACCTATTGTTTAATTGATGAATTTTCTCTCCTGCAAAATTTCTTTTTAGTTCAAGGAAAAATATAGGTAAACGGATAATTTGGTCTTCTGCTTTCTTCGTGAATTGCTTTACTTTAATTATATTGAAGCTTCTGAGGTCTAAGTCTGCGTGAATTGCTTGCTCTGTGTAGGATCTTGGGATATTCTTAAGTATAACTTTAATTGAAGAGGCTGAGGAAATTTGGTACGCATGAAAACTAATCTGTGCTTTTTGGAATTTATCAACTGAAGCTTTATAATCGGCTTCGGTGGTAGTGTAAAGGAAAATCTGTCTGGCTTTGATTGTAACTTCAAATTCGTTTTTACATATTTCTCTGAGCATTTTGTCTATTTCAAGCCAATCAACATCGTTTTCTGGAATGACTAATGGGGGAATTTTTGTTTTATTTTCTGCGTTATTCTGTGTTGTAGTCATTTGCGTTTCATCTGTAACTTCCATAACTTCGTTATTTTCGTTAAGAGTTTCAGATTTGTTATTTTGCGGAATATCTGGTGGTGGGATAGACACGGAATTTTTCGCTGTTTTCTTTAGAGTTTGCCAATCCTTCTGATTTATTTTTTTATCATCTGTTTTAGAATTTGCGAGCTTCGGGGTGTTCTGAATGCTTGCTAAAATGAACTGATGTTGTTGAAATTTTTCTTGTAACTTTGAACGCATTTCTATCACTGGTGGGGAGGTTAATGTCTTCATAGACTCAATACAGTTTAATTTATCGGCGATTTCGTTTTCTAATTTGAGTAAGAGATCTTTTGGGTTAGTCGGAAAATGAGTATTAAGATATTCTTGCGAGATAGCTTCTGTTAAATTAGGAAAAACGTTTCTGTGTTTGTTAACTACTGCTTCAAAATTTGAAGGGGAGGGTTTGAATTTCTTTAGTATTATTGGCTATTTTCTTAGGACTTCCTGCGGGCTTCTTTTCTTTTCTCTGGGATTTGCTTTTATTAGTAGAAATTAGAGTAGAAATTATACTTTGAAGCGCCGGGTCATATGAAGCCATTACAGGCATCTCTTTGGATGTAGTCGATTTTCTTGAATAATTCGAATAAGTAGAATCATTATAGCTATCATAATCGCTGAAAGTAGCAGGTCAAGGAATTTTGCCTCTATCTGGTGGTTCGCTATTATTGACCATATCGAGATGAAAAAGCAAAAATAATATTTACCGAAAATCAAGAAGAGCAGTCGTCATCGCAAGAGAGAAACTCACGTCTCATCCATGTCATTTTTAACTCAGAATCATTTACTCAGAATGCACAAAATATATATCATCTTAAGAATTATCTGATCGTTGCCACATGTTCTATTCAAATACTATAATAAATCTAAAACGATGTATAAAAGAAATTAAGCAAAGAACAGCAGCAAAAACAAAAACAAAAAAAATAAACAATTTTTCACAGACGATTCAGTCTTTCTCTATCAATTAGTTCAGTTCTCACTTCGCGACGAGGCAAAAGTACATAAAAACTCAAAATGTTTCTATTGCAAATTATGAAGTAAATCTTAAACACTTATTTCCTTAAATAAATTCCAGAATGGATTAAGCATGATTTAATTCGCAATAATAAAAAAGGCATTATCTTTGTTATTACGAAGCTCACTTTCTCTAGATTGGCAGCAAATCTACTATTATGTTGTTTCAAATTTAAACAAGCAATGGCCGACATGACAAAAATTATTAGGCTTTGTGGCACTTAAATAACTTTTAAATTGTTGATAATTCTAAAAATATTGCATACAGATTTACTAAAGGCATAAAAACCTTATTACAAACATATAAGAATAACGAAACTGAGATCACTGTGCCGAGTAACAGAGTGAATACATATATTTATGTACTTTTGGTGCGGCCGATTGCAACCAAAATACGAGGTGCACATCTACATGTTCTAGCAGTCCTATAACAAAATTTCAACGTTCTGAGGCTACTCGTTTTTGAGTTATGCGAGAAACATACGTACGTACTCACAGACGCCAAAAAAAATTCTCTTCAAAATTCATTTAAAATTAATTTTACAATTTGTTTGGGGGAAGTCCTTTTTTCTGTCCTTACCAACAGATGTCAAGCAAAAACATCGTTAAATTGCATTTGATAGCGGTGAAAATGGATATTTGCTTTGAAATATGACGCCTGAAATTTTTCGCGATTACAATACTTTCTTTTTATTTCGTACAAGGAAATAAAAAAAACTTAAGTACAAAACCGCTAAAATGCTCATGCACGTATCCATTTGCCGATATTTGAACACTAGTCGGACTACCAGTGTTAAGCGGTATTATCTATTCGACCACTTGGTGAGCCCAATAGCCAATATATCAGCTGTTTAAATAAAACGATTTCTGTGAAGGGATTTGTTAATGTTTTAAGTGAGAAGAGTACAGCGGTTATATTTAGAATTTAACAATATATTCATCTTTTCCAAGATAATTAATCAAAACTCTTCAATTTTATTTGTTTGCTTGGCCGAATATGGCACAGCTACGACCTGGGAGAGGCCTAAATGAATGGGTAAGTT